GATGGTAAGACCCCATTGCTGAGGATGCAGCCCACTTTGTAGGTTGTAGGGATAGAAGAATCAAGCTGGAGCTGACCTGGGAAATTCCTACCTCCTGGCTAGTGTTCATAGTGCCGGAAGTTACTATGAAGATTGCTAGGGAAGCAAAGTTACCAGTGCCCTTAGGGCCGCCCTGCGTGTTAAAATGCTGACCTGCCAGGCTAGAGGTATCCATTGAGGCAATAATGACAAGGTGGTTATGAGGGAAAACTAACAGCTTTCTAGTTGGATCTGAGGCCTCCTACACAGGAGGAAGCTCAGGCTTGGTAATCATAAACTTGATCCAAAGTCCAAGGCTAGGGAGGTCATAGGCTCTAGAATATAACCTACTACTGCTGTTTTGCTAAATGGACATGATGCCAATCTGCCCTTTACATATTTATGTGTATAGCCGTACATTAGCGCTTCTCTCAGCCTTGGCCAGAGGGCGACGGTCAGTGCAGAGCCTCATAACCGGCCAAAGAGCTGAGAACAGGTGATTGCTGAGCCTTCAGCACCACAAGGAAGATTCGCATCAACCTCCGCAAGGCTCAGTGAGCATCTTAAAAGAGGGAATGGAGAGATGGTTGAGCTGGAGGCCGGGGCCGGGGAGCACTGTGAAATACTGCTTTCTGGGCATGACTCAGCTGTGGCACTCATGAATTCACAGAAGTGGTGATTATCGCCCACAATCAAGGCAGTTCAGATTCTAGCATGGATAGGAAAGACACTCACGAGGCCCCACCTCCGCCTGAGGAGCCATTAACTGGCCTGCAAGGATGAGTCTGCTGGTAGGTTGCCAATGCTCCACCGGGTGGTAAGGATGTGTCTGCTGGTAGGTTGCCAACGAGTGGCTTCATACCCATGCCCATGCAAGGCAGTACTAGTCAGACGGAATGGACTGTATTCAAACAAAGACATAAAGGCGGGAGGAGAAAATACTGAGCGGGCCCAGAGAGGAAAGAAGAGTTGTGTTGGGTTCGATCGAGAAGCATTGCATACATGGATGAGATTGTAAATTATGACCAAGAAAGAGCCAGTCTCATAAACATCCCTGATAAGTGTCTGGAATCAACCTAGGTGTCAGCAGGATCATGCTTACTTCATAATAAATCTCTATGCCGATGTGTAAAAACCAAGCCAATACTATAAGTAAGCCTTCCCTCTCTCTCTGCTAGCCTATAAGCCACAGTCTTCGGTGGTCACAGCGGGACAATCCCTGCCTTGCTTCTCATTGGCTTAGATGTGAACTCCAAATGTGTGGGTTATAACAATTGCATGGATTGCTTTTGAGAAACTTCAGGACACTTTTATTTCCTTCTAAAAACACCGACTTTTCACTTACGCCTACAGACATCTGATAACTACACTGAGATAAAAATCTCACTGTCTCTTTGCCTCTGCACTCTTCGCTGTCTTAAGCCTGGGGTCAGATTCTGCTCAGCACTACAGATAGAATAGATGATATCAAATTTATTTCTGAGACGATGGCATAAGATTAACTTGACTCATTGCCTGTTGGATCTGTATTCTCTTAGCTTTGCCAAACTGTGGAGCCAGGACATCCATCTGGGAACCCCCACCTCTGAACCTCAAAGCCAGAATGTTTGCGCACAAGAAGGAAAATTTCTCTTAATTTTCAAAGAAAAAGGATTCCATTTCTTTCTGTGGTGGTGTTGGTGGGGAGCACACATGCCATGGGACGTGTGTGGGGAAGCCAGAGGACAGCTTGAGAGAAATCTGTTTTCTCCTTCTACCAGGCAGGTCCCAGGGAACTGCTCGGATCTCCAAGTTTGGTGGCAAGCACCCTTACCTGCTAAGCCATCTTGCTGGCCTGGAAAACATCTTTTAAAACTGTGCCCATGACCAATTACCAAGCTTTAGCTCGTGCCGGAAAATCAAGGGAAGTTTGTGATCCTCTCTGGTTCAGGGGGCAGCAGCCGTCTCTCTTTTCTCATGCTTACTGCTTTCCTTTGGCTCCAGCTAAATTCAGCTACTTGGGCTAAAGTCCTCATTAAAAAAAAAAAAAATCCCTGCCTCTCTCATTGGTGATGGGTGGCCAGTCTCACTTGTCCAGTTTTCATGCCATGAGCTCACACTGCCCAGTATCGCCGTGGATTAGAACAAACTTCAGGCATGTTCATAGTGTTTTCCAGAGGGTGTCCACCAGGACTGCACAGCTGCTCCCTACATTGGTGGCCTACTGAATTATACACACCTTTTGTGAGTCCTACTTCATACTTGTGATTTATCTAGGTAAATAAGCCATGTGTGCCGCACACACTTGCCTCCGATGCCTGGCTGGTGTTCACTTCTACCTTCTGAGGTTTTCTGAAGTGCTCTGTCATCACAGGGGTATCCCAAGTTCCACTCCATGGCGGGACTCTTGGTATTGCACCAGAGATGTTACTTCAGACGGATCTACTTATCCAATTGACACTGTAGGAGGAAGAGAGTCCCTTTAGCCTTTTCTGAGAATCGATGCAGTAGCATTTTAGACAAAAGTAGAATTTTTTTTTCTGCAATACAGGATTCTTCTTGCAGTCCCCTCCAAGAATGCCTTTTTTTTTTTTTAAAGCAAGAGACTCAAATATTAGTTTTTCATACCCGATTGCACCCTCCACGCTTGTCGTCCATCTCTCCCTGATTCAAACGCTGTGCTGAGGTCTCGTCTCTGTGATTCCATCCTGTCTCCGAGAGTCAGAATTGATGGGGCCCAGGGCCGGCGGTGATACCAGGTGTCCCCAGCAATGCTGCCTGTGGACTGGCAGCTTTGCCGTTCTTCACATTCCCCCACCACTGTTTCCTGGCAGTGTTGATTACAGAAATCAGATTAGACACTCATCCAAGACGGGCTTTCCCCACTGTATTTCAAGTCCATTTATTTTGCCGTCACAGAGACGTGGCTGCGAGGGAGGGAAGGATGATAAGGTATCCAGCTGTCCTTTTGGAATGTGGAGGATTCCAGCCGGGGGAACTAATATTACCACAGGGCTGTTCCCTTAGGCAAGCTCTCTATGGCTGAGCCATACCCAGGCCCCATGGTTGTTTTCTTAGCTCATTAGACTCTTGGGGTGAAACTAAAATTAGGATTTGGTTACCCAGTGCTCACTGTACAAACCCTAGGAAGGGGGTGTGATGTCCAAGATTTCAGTATTATTCTTTGGCCAGTGGGGGTGGTGGTGGAGCAATGCCCCCAGTTCCAATCAGTCTTCCTCACATAATGTAAACGGTGAATGTTTAGTTTCCAGTTTTGAGGCTCAGCTAGTCTGGGGTTCACAACAGCGTTGTGTGGTCATTCTTCCACTTGCAGTGCGTTTATTGGTCGGGTGTCTCAGATGCGAGATTGTGCACAGAACAGTTCTCATGGGAGTCAGAAGTTTCTCTTTCCTCCCCCCCCCCCCCCCCCCCCCTGATGTCCCAGGTTGCTCTCTCTTCTGCTCTGTGGTTCCCTTTTCTCTCTCATGTCTCGTGTATGATCCAGCTCTCATGCAGGACGGGAGGTACTGTATGGGAGGAAGCTTGAAGCATTTTTTTTTTCTTTTTGGTTTTTCGAGACAAGGTTTCTCTGTATAACTTTGGTGTCTGTCCTGGAACTAGCTCTTGTAGATCAGCCTGGCCTCAAACTCACAGAGCTCTGCCTGCCTCTGCCTCCTGAGCGCTGGGATTAAAGGTGTGTGCCACCATTGCCCGACAAAGCATCTTTTCTTATGTATTTTGAATTAGCTTACTTCAAGCATCCAGTACAGTGGCATCTAGAATGTACTAAGAGTTCAGTACATGCCTGCAGACTAAATCAATCGCATGCCTCTGCTGGCATGCTGAGATGGGCACTGACTTGTGTGTAACTACCCTTTTCATGTGTGTGTACCGTTCATGTCCACCTGTTTCTTCGAAGCCGTGGTGGTGCAGCTGCATTTACCAACACAAACTGAGATGGTTATGTTTAAATGTAGAAATATGAAGTTCATATGCATATATGATCAGATGTGACAAACCTAAGTTGTCTACTGTCGGCTATGCCCCAAGACAAAAGTGTGCAACTGATACCAGTGAAGGAAGCTGGGGTTCGTCCCAATTCTGTCACTAAAACCCTGTGGTTGCTTATGCTCTAGGGACCATCTTTTTTTTCTCTTGTAAAACGAGGCCATGGTCTATACTGTCTTCCATAGAATTATCAACAACTCTATGACTTTTAAAGAACAATAGGCAAGTTTTAAAAATTCCTCTTCATAACTGGGCAGTGGTGGCACATGCCTTTAATCCCAGCACTAGGGAGGCAGAGGAAGGTGGATCTCTGTGAGTTCAAGGCCAACCTGGTCTACAAGAGCTAGTTCCAGGACAGGCTCCAAAACTACAGAGAAACCCTGTCTCAAAAAAAAAAAAAATTCCTCTTCATAACAATTTCCAGTCAGTCTTCCCTAAACAAGAGACATTATGACCTCAGAACATCCAGGGCCATTCTGGTTTGTTCTGCATGCAGAGTAGACTTTCAAATTGCCGGCCTTAGGAAAGGCGATTCCTACTCCCGCACTGTTTGCTGGTTATATTGAAAAACTGATTGTCTTGAAAAGGTAGAGAAGAGCAGAAATGGAAATCCCCAAATCCTTTCTTAAAGAAGAGAGGAATGAATTTGTGTTGCGGAGTTAGATAACACCTAGAGACCGCTGGACTCTATCCAAGAGTAATTAGTGAGTTTTTATTTAAGCTGTCCTCAGTTCCCAAGGTGGCTTGGGGCACTGAGATCCCACTTAACAAGGAGGAGGGGTTTTAAAGGCAAAGGCCACGTGGTGCTTTTGGGATGGGAGCTTTCCCAGGTGCAAGAGAACATCCGGATCTTGTGCATTCCTGGGATTTCTGGCTTTGTCCTAAGAGTCTCAGGTTGCTCACAGGGCAAGCTCTGATTTTTTTTGTTGTTGTTGTTGGGCAAATCTTTACTCAATCCATTTTGACTTAATCTGAATCCACTTTCTCTTTTCCAGCTCCCTAGGCTGCCCCAGAAACTCATGAGGGTTTCCAGATGGGATCTTCTCTGAGGTATGAGGTTTGTCTCCATAAGCAATCTTTACCTTCCTTTCTCCCACACACAGTATGTTTCCGGCATACGTAGCCTTTAACATTTTCTTATGAGATTTAAAAATAGTAGCTGATGGTATTGATTTGTCCTTCCACTGATACCTTGCTGCTCTTACCTTCTCAGTGGAAATCCGCTTCAAGGGGGTCAACAGGGGCTAGCGGGTTCCATCAGCCAATGAGAGATCACCAGCCAGGCTGAAAAGATTTACAGACCCCGTTAGGTGATGTTTATTGCAATTCTTCCAGAGACCTATGACCAGAATTTCATGACAAAGCCATTTAAAGTAGTATTTTTAAAATTATTGTGTGTATATACATACACATAATATATATATACATATGAATTCATTTAATCATTCAAACAACTTTATAAAATATGTATGGTTATATACTTTTTACTTATCTAAAAATTAAATGGGTAGGATTAAGTAACCTACCCAAAGTCATTTTGGGTTCTAACTCAGTTTTAACTCACATTCGTAAGAAAAAAATTTAGTCACTGTACATAGGCAAACAAATACTTTTTTTGAACTGGAAATACTTAGTTTTGAAGTTTAAGTGAATATTATTATTCCTTTAAAAACGGCGGCGGCATGGGTGTGTGGACAAACACAGGATAGACGAGACGCAAAAGGAAGAGACGGACACGCGGCTCCCACGTGGGTGCGCTTTAATGGGGAGAGGGGAACACAGCAAGGGGTGGGACGTGCAGACACACAAGGGTAGGGGGGAAAAGGGCCAAGAGAGGGGCCAAGAGAGCGAAGCCTCGTGGACCTTCGCTTTTAACGGGGGGCGCAAGGTTATCTGGGAGGAGTGGCCTTCACCTGGGCGCGGCCAGCGCGCACACAGGTGACGGTAATCCAGGAGAAGTCTGGGAGCTGTAGTTTCCAAGGAATAACAAATATGTCACACACAAATATTCAAAAGTATCATCTTGGATAATAACTGTAACTGTAGACTATTTTCCCTGTGACTTTGCTGAGTTCAGAGAGACTGTATCAGCAACAAATCTACCCCGAAGCTCCAGAAACATTACAAAGTCTTTCTTCTTGCGCATATGAAGTTGGGTGCAGATTGTCTGATCGAAGTTCCCAATCTACTCCTAAAGTGGCTGGGCGGAGAAAGGAGGGAAGCCCTCGCTGTATTGGACAGCGCTATCAATCTGTCATCCAGTCTGAAGAAGCTCAGAGCACTCCAGCGAAGTAGCTCACTTATTCATTATGATACTCCTAATTGAAAGCTAAGACACCCTAGACAATTTCCATCAGAGGAATCTAAGTCTCTTGCTGATTTATATAAATCCTTCTGTCTGAAAACTGTACGGAATTCATAACATCTCATAGGCCAGCCTGGTGCACTAGGGTTTAGGCTTAAGTGGTAATTCAGATAACTAACAACGCAGGAAGACACAAGGAACCATGGCATCTTCATACCCTTTCCTGCTGTGAGGTAGAGTCTCTCTATGTAGCCCTGGCTGGCCAGGAACTCACTCTGTAGACCAGGCTGGCCGTGAACTCACAGAGATCCACCTGCCTCTGCTTCCTGAGTGCTGAGATTAAAGGTGTGTGTCACCTCACTCTTAATATCTTGCTTTGTGTCACACTACTTACTACTACTTATTGTCTCTAGACCATAGAGAATAAAATGTCTACTGTTGTGAGTCTTTCTCTGTTCCACCAGCCAGTTCCCAAATAACCATATGGAGATTTCTTATTAATTGTGAAAACTCGGCTGATAGCTTAGGCTTGTTTCTACTTAGTTCTTATAACTAACTTAAATTAACTCATTTCTATGAAATTATTCTGTCTCGTCTCATGGTTTTATGCCCATACGGCTTTCCTGCTTCCTTCATGTCTGGCTGGCAACTCGACCTTCTTCTTCCCAGCATCCTCTCTGCCCCAAAATCCTGTCTAGCTATTGTTTGTTCAGCTTTTTAATAAACGAATCAGGGTCAGATATTTAGTATACAAAAAGATGATTCCACAATAGTCTGCCTCTTACTTCTTAGGACTCTCCAGGAAGAAACAAGAGTTATGATTAAGAATTTCACTATTGGCACTTATATTTAGTAGTACACTTTGATCTGCGGGATGGAGAAAGCAGGTTGAAGCCACAGGACTTGCTGAAGGATGAGCCTTTCCTGATGTAATGGTGCTGCTGTGGTGGAGGGATTTTTATGATTCTGCCTTTAGAAATAATTCAAGGAAAGAAATTTCACCACTGTTGTGCCAGAACACTCGAACCAATGACATTTGATTATTATTTAATATTGTTTTGGGTAGAAAATAAAGACTGTGTTGTAAATCTCTCTAAATAATTTATCTCCTAGAGTTTTAAGCCTTTTATCAACTGCCTTGCACTAGGGTCTGGCAAAGATAGGGATTGGATAAGTGAAGGGTAGCAGGGATTCCCAGGCGTTGGCTGCTCAGCCTTTGTGGACGGCGCCATGGGAAGGAGAGCAACGGTGTTCACACAGGAGCCCTCTCAGGATCAGGGTCCCTGGGCGCTGGCCTTGCTCTCGGAGGCATCCCCCACTCTCTGTTCTTTACCTTGGTTGTAGGTCATATGAAGAAAACTGCACCTTCCAGCTTCGCCTGTGACTCCAGACACAGCTTCGGGTTCAAGCTCAGCATCTCTAAATGCTGGAATTCTTCCAAAGGCATTTATAGTACGACCCCAGACTGTGCCCTTGTCTCCCACACAGCGTTTCCTGATCTATAGCTTTTCTGCACCAGTTTCTGCATCCCGAAGTTTTGGAGCTGATGATTTTGAGAGCACATTTCCTTATTATCTGTTCCTCATAATTGTTCTCATTTGGTAAGTTGGATAGACCCCAAAACAACTTCCTGTTCTGTGAAGCATCTCAGGGTACATGCTATTTTCAGGAAGATAGATGATATGTGCATTGCCATGCGCTTAAATGAGCTTGCTATCTTTATATTTCAAGGCTGTTCTCTCGGGCTATTGAATATTAAATCATCTTTTCTAGTTACTGCATCTATAGCCTCCTCCACCCTCTGCAAACCCTCTTCTAGAATTAGCCAAAAAAGTCTGTCTTGTTTTCTCCTGGACCTTCTAGTCAGGCATACACACAGGAGAAGGTGTCCTGACTTGTCAGGTGTGTTCATAGGTAAACCCTGCCCCCCTCCACCTCTCTCTTCATGTGTGTGTTTCCCAGGCTTTCTTTTGAGTTAGTCTTAGCCTGTGTCCACAGAACCTCTTGGAAAAATTAAACATTATAAGGAGGCAGGAAGGCCAGAATCAGGTTATATATCAGAAATGGAAGAGAGAGATCTTTGGTAGTGGGAATCTGGGTAAACGTCACTCTCTGGAGATGAATGTTGGAAGGAACTGAGTCGACATCTTCCTCATGTTCAGTAAAGCTGAGCGACAACTTTCGTTCACTCCCAGAATGGGAGCATTAGAAGAGCTGGTGATGGGATGTCTAAAGGGTTTAGCTAAAAAATGTCATACATGTAGCATAGTTAAGGTTGACACATACAACATACAATAGCAAACTAGTGAGGCCCCATGTCACGCTGCAGAGCTAGTTTATATAATGAGACCACATACTCAGTGAGAGGCCCACCCCCAAAGTAAGTTAGTATATATATATATATATATATATATATATATAAATATATAGAAATATGTATATTTCTGCTTTTCTAATCCTCATCTTCAGTATGCAGAATTTGTCTAAAGATCAAATCAAATGAAGCCTCTTGTAAACTTTAAAGTGGGCCCAAGGGAAACACTGCACTTGTCTTTCACACTTAACTAGGGTGACAGGGTGCGGACAGAGCCCTGAGCACAAGCCGCCATGCTTGTTGGCACGTTCGAGGTCCCTAGAGGTCCTGCTTCTCATGCAGTTACCAGGCTGGAGAGTCAGCAGTGGCTAGCCAGTTGGAGGCATCCTGCTCTGATGCGTTGGACTGTTCCTGTGGCTGCAACACAGGCAGCGTCCGCTGCTGCCTTTCCATCAGCATCTCCCTTGATTTTTACATCTTTTCTTCGGACCCAGTTCTTCCCTCCTGTTATTTTTCTCAGATGCAGAAATCAACCTACTAAACAGGAAATGTTTTGCTTACGCTTTCCCATTTTTGTCCTCCTAAAGCTGAGATTTCATGGTTTACCAACCGAGGATTCTTTTTTATGCCACAGAGAAATCATTTAACCAACTCTGTCATATTTTGCCATACATGGCAACGTGAGTTGTCCTGGGTGTATTTTTGGATACTGGATTAGTCTTAGAATGCGAGGTCTGTGCTGTGGGAAAGAATATGACCTTACTAAGATGTGAACTCTGCTTTATGTCGCTATGGTTACTATTTGATCGTCCCAACTTGCATACTTGGAATCCAAGAGGGGAAAATCAAAACAGCATCTCTATCAGGCAGATGCCAAAATACATAAAATACATTGTCCTTTATATGAACAGATAGATATGCGTCATGTATGGACTGGAGGGCAATAAAGTTTGTAGGATAAAAAGAGCAAAGATGTATTTGTGTAGAAAACAGAAATTTACCCTGGTCTTTACAGTTTGTTATTGAGGGAATCTAGGCTGTAGGACTTGGTGGAAATAAAAACTAGATGATAAATGTGGCAATCCCAAGAGGTCAGGAAGCAGGCCATACCTGTGCCTTCACGGCAGCCAAAGCTCGCTCTGTAGTATCTGGCATTGCTTCACTACTGAGTAGCTATCTACACAGGCATCCTGTTTCCTTAATATTGTTTACTAAAAAGATCTTGCTTGAAGTTGAATAAAAATAAGCTTTATTAAAAACTAAAAACCCAACTCTCGATATTCCAAACATCTGAAGCACAAATCCTTACCACAAATATTCACCCAGCCTCTTAGCTTCTGAGGGTATGATGCTGGGGACCAACGTCAGGGGTCCTTATTCTAGCAAGATGACTTTTAGTGATTAAATTTCAGGAATAATATTAAAATCCAA